AGGATAAGAGATAATATGTTCTACGATAAAGGTAAATGACTAAATGACAAAAAAAACGTTTAGCGTGTTCGCATCAATCACTAAACGGGTATAGACGGCACTAGATTACACTGTAATAAAATAATGAACTGATTCAGTGATTTAGATAAGTAACGGAGCAGATCAAGTTTTTACACTCTCACCGTACGTCTTCTTAATATCAAGAAATTCCTTTTTTAGAGCAAGTTTCATTTCTAGAAGTTTTACATTTAAAGAGGACTTAATTGCCTCCCATATTAAAGTCACCTTCCTTAAATTGACTCCTGTTTTCGTTTCTATTCCCTTCTTTTCTCTAGTTACCCTCTTCGCTATTAAAAAACTTTTATAGATGCTGCGAATAAGAGCTTCCAAAGCGAGGGCCTTCATTCTCTTATCGCTAAATGTTGTAGAGTAGAGAGCTTCTGGGGCTTGTTTTCGACTGAGGTAAGCAATTAAGTTGGATTTTCTAAATTGGAAAACCTTTATACTCCTTAAGTTTTGGTTCACGGTAAATAACATTTTTTTTCTTTTTAATCGGTTGAGCAAATAGGGCTCTTGATTTAAAAATAATTTTTAAGCGTTTAAGCACGCCCTTTAGACTTTAAGCTCCTAACTATGCTATAGGCAGTTTTAACAATACTCTGTTCGGCCCTATAGACCAAAACAATACATAAAACCTAACCCTTGGACATAAAGCTCAAACTTCTTCACAGTCTCTAGGATACCACGTAGTTTCAATCACATTCTTACAGAATTAATTTTTACGGCCTTTGGCTTTCTTAATTGTGCATTGTAGCTATTTAACTATAACACTTTGGTCAAAAAGATTTAATTTAGATTATATATAATAAATACTACTAACTATTTCTTTTAATTTATACTTAAATATTGAAAGGGTCAAGTTATAGGCTAATGTGCCGTGCTGACTAAGAACGTTTAAAGCTTAAGAGGGCTAATGCCCATAGAAGTGGGAAGTAAAGGTAAATCTAGATGTTAAGATGCAAATAGGACAGGTATAAAGTAACGAGGACTGATGCGCTGAACCGAGAGAAAAAACTCTCGAAAGCAATTTAATAAAAGATATTGATTTTCCCTATTTCTTCTTTTCTTGTTAGTTAAGAAACGCTAGTTTAAACTAAAGTACTAAGCGAAGGACAGTCAGAAAGAGCAAACACAAAAAAAAAAAAATTCTCTTAGTTCATTGGCTAATTTTATGTTAAGAGTATAGTGGTATTTCTATTTTCTTAGCAACCGTGTTTGATTTCTTTACAACTCATAAACGGATGTTTCTTCAAGTTTTATTATGTTTAAATGGTTATGTATATTACATTTTACGTCTGTAAGTAGTTGTTTTTTTTATCTGTATTATAAACTTTTTAGCCTACTTTTCAATGAATGGCAGGTTTGCAACAGAAAAAGGTCATATGGTAAACCAGGACAAAGGTTTTTTAAGCATCAAAAAAAAAGAAATTCTTTTAAGCCTTTCTTAGCTCACGCAAAAGCGTTTAGTAAAAGAAAAGCTATTAATTACGAACTTTTTAAAATTTGCGTGAAGAGAGACTCCCCGCATTAATAAGTTCTAATCATAAAAATTCATATAATATTTAGGAAGTTGAAAGCATGAATGAACTAAGTATACCGCTGCAAAAGCTATTATAAATAATTAGTAATACTGATATATAAGCTTCCAATAATATTTTCAATGAAGAAAGAAAGTATTATATTAAAAAGTTAATTTTTATAAAATCGTATTAGAGTTTTCTTAATACATTTTAACAAGCTGGCAAAGTAAAAAAATAAGTTAATGTTTCTCTATATAAGGCCAAAAAGTAATATTTAAACATAGAGAAAAAATTATTATAAGTATCTGTTAGAAGAGGAGAATACACATTAGTATTAGCTATATCATCGTTATAACCAATATAAAATATTCGTCAAACGTTTAAAAAAACTTCCAATCATGAACTACAAAATTCGTTTTATACAAAGTCTCGATTATAAAAGTAAAATTAATATTGTGGTAACAAATTAAATTACGGTTAACTTAATGTATTTTTGTTTTATTTTCGGCTAAAATATAATTACGTAATTCTTTTTAAACTCACACTGGCTTTAAAAAATGTAATAAAGTTGTACTAATATTAAAATCTATTTAAGAGTATAAAGAAATGATTTGAGAAAAAGTTGTGGATCTTTAGTTTATATTGATCAAAATATATTATCTGCTTAAAAAATAAGGCTTCTGTTAAATTTTTAAAACAGACGCTTGTCATTCGCTGAAGGCATCACGTTTAAATAATTTTTTCTAAGCCTGTTTCCGAATTAGTAAAAAGTGTAACCACCAATAAAGAGTGTTAACAATATACTAAGAAAAACACTTAAAATCGGAGCCCATTTTAGATAATGTAGATAAACTTAGTATACGTAAGCCAATAATAAAAAGAAATGTACGAGTGTTGGACTATTAAATAGTTTTTATTTGAGTAATTAGTAATATCTTCCAACTAAACCACTTAAAGACTTTTGGTGGACCTAATGGACGGATAATGCAAAACATACCTTATCCAGAATTTAATTACTTCAAATTGGAGTTAGTAAAAAGAACTATTGTGGGTGAGGAACCTGTGAAAGGGTTTGCTTTACTTTCTGTTAATAACGGAAAAAATTGCATCAAAGGTTCGGATTTTTGTCATTTTTAGTTAATATTATTTAAATCTAATTGCTTTATGAACCATTACTATTAGCTAATTGGTAGAGTTGGCTAGACATTTTATATATGCTTTTATTTAACTTTGTGAAAGTTATTTAATAGTGGAGTGAACAAACTTCTTATTTTAAAAAACTTAGCAATTATTATTAATTCTTAGATGTCTTAATAGCCTGCCGTTGTGTGTTCAAGTATAAAACATTTGAGGGAGAGTTGGTTAACAACGTATTACACGAAGAGGTTTTTGTTAAGGGGAATGATCAGGTGGACATTAACTAATGTAATACTTTAAGGTATCAAGAAATGCTGCTCCTTTCGATGATGGAGGCATCCCCGAAGGAGATTACGATTTTCCGTTCTCTTTTACGTAATATGTAAATATAATAAAAATATATTTTATAAATATTTCCATTAATAGAAAACTTAAGTAATTTTTTTACAGTTTAAGCGAAGCACTGCCTCCTTCAATTATAGTTACCGGTGGTTGGGATAGTAGTGTGCATTGTAAAATTTGGTATGAAATTCGAGGTACTTAATGATTGTTATATTGTTAAACTACCTTATTAATTTATTTATAATAAAAGCTTATGTGATTCATAATGATGATCCTTCTTTCCCACGTAAACATTTGAGAACTTCTTTAAAATTTAAGGTTTAAATTATAGTAAATATTACAAAGGCGATCCTTTTAATAATGTTGTAGAGACTTGCCTCATATTCAGCATGTCCAGAAATTATTCCACAAGTTCATAAAAGAAAATCTTTCTCATGGAATCCAATTGATGTACTAAGGATATTAGCATATATAATATTGGTTACAAGACATATAATAATTTATATAAGGTGAAAGCAGAGCTTAATAAAAATATATACCTCAATAATGAACCCATCAGGGTGTCCATTAGTGTAAAAAATGAACTTTTAACCAGCGTTACTGCCATTAAAGTGTTGTAAGAATTAAGATTAAAAAAGTTAAAAAAAAAATAATAATTACTATTAATAAAACTTAAGTATTAAACAGTCGGTAGCGCTGTACCAAAAGGAACATTCTCAAGAGTTTTCTGTTAACCTTTCCCCTATAAACATAACACGGGGCCTTCCTATTAAGAGAAATACGGCGTTCAGGTGTTTACTTATAGCTATCTTCTTTTACTTTATACTATAATTGCTACATTAATTTTAGGGGTAACATACAGTTAACTCCGAAACTCAATGATTGTATACTAAAAAATCCTTATAATATTATTGCTTTGAAAGAAGTTTTGAGTGATTCGGTTTTTATTTTTTGTGATTTCTTTATTATTATGAAACTTCCCTAATTTTGTTTTGTTGAGAAAAAAAAATTCAAACTTGCATCAACTTCAAAGAGAATTATTTTAGAGGGTATCGAAGTTAGGTGAAGTCTTAAAAAAATATTTCTTTTATATGTTATTGTTTATTACCACCGTACAGTATATTTATAATAATTTATAAATTCCATAGGAGCTTAGCCGTCGTTTTTTTTTTTCTAAAAAAATATTTAAAATAATACACTTTACTTCAAGCTAAGTTAACTATTTACTGCTATTAGTTATTCTGTTTGCATTCGCTTTTGCTTGAATTTGGGTAACGATATCAATCTGTCGATTCCTTTTATTCTGGCTGACTCTATAAATGACCAAAGTTCTCCACCTACTTATCAGGTTTTAATAAAAAATTGGAAAAGGATATACTTTTATAAAGAGGAATATATTTTTATAAAAGACTATCGAAATTATTATATTTAAGGGTAACTGCTAATACTTATTGGTTAAAGATGTTTTAAAACGTAAACCTAAAATATAAGAAACTTTAAAAAGGCTTCTTATTACAAGGTTTATAACTTTAAAAAAAAAAATTAAAAGCTGTATGCTTTATAAGACTGTTTAAATATTAACTTTAATACACGAGGTTTGTACAAAGGTTAGCCAAACTAATATTAAGTTACTAATATAGATACAGCACGAGTTAAGAATTAGTTAAAGATTTTGAAAAAATTTAATAAGAAAAAGGAAAATAATTAAATGTTATTACTTCAAAGTTTTATTAAAAACTTAACAATTTAATAAAAAACATAAAAAATATAAAGTAGTATAATATATATTTTAGTTTAAAGGTCCGCATAAAGATGGAAATATTTTATTAGTGTATTTTATTAATTTATTAGAAATCATTTAAAAAAAATTAAAAGTAAAAAAAAAAGTATACTTTTTCCAAGAAGCCTAACAAGTAGCTTATACCAATAATCTGTAAGGTGGCTGTTGGCTCCTACGACTTTCCGTGCAGCAAAGAAGAAGAAGCGCAAAGAGAGCAGAAAAGAAACGAACGATATATAAAAAAAGTTCTATAACTTAACTTTTTACTTTTTTTTTATTTTTTGGATATATTTACTTTTTTTATTTTTTCATAAAAGCAAAACGAAGAAAGTTTACTAAAGGAAGAAGAAGGACTGCCTTCTTATGATCAAACAATGCGCAATAAAAATTTGTACAAAAAGTTACGTCCATCGAAAATAGGATTTTCCAAGCGTGTATGTTCATAATAATTTTTTATTATTAATTTTTTTTTAACTGCCTACTAATTTTAATTTACTCAGCTATTAGTAATTATAATATTTTACTTACTTAATTTTTTTTATAATTAAAGCAAAAACGATAAAAATAATAGTTTTAAATTGAGAGTGAATTAATTTAAGTTTAACTGATTTATTACAGAAGATCTAAATTAAACCTAAAAGTATTTAACATTTATTTATTATCTAAAACTTGTCTTTAAAGAAATTTTAAGATTTATTTTGTTTCTGTTTTAAGTTAAAAACTTATATTTAATAGAACAAAAAGAAAAGTTGTTTCTGAATATGTAATAGAAATAATAGCATTAATAGTAAATAAATATGAATAAATAAAAATTAAATCTGAGTAGATAATAATATTTTAAGTAATCTCTTTATTATAATATAAAAAAGTATGAATTAATTACTTAAATTAAAGATTATAATGACTCCTTCCGTTCTTTATGAAGGCAGCCGAGAGTTTCTGGAGAATAGTCACGACTTGACTCCGTATACCTTTTTATATAAATATATAGATTATCTTTTTATCAACGATTTTTTATTTTTATAGTAATAATTAAATATAAATTTTATTGTTATTTACTTTATATTATATAAACTTTTAATGTTTTACTAATTATTATTTATAAAAAATCTTTATTTGTAGAATAATTTTTTATTTGATTTAAATAAATATATTATATTATATTATTATTTAAATATATTTCTTTAATTGTAGTAGTAAATTAATATTCTCTATTAAAAGTTTTTAGTTTTTATTTTTTACTTAAAAATTTAAAAATTATTATTTAGAATATATATAAATTTTATATAAAATTATAAAAATAATTTATTTTTAGTGCATATTTTTAAATTTTAATGAATTATATTAATAAAAGTTTTTAGCTTTCATATAAAATTTAATAGTGATAATTCTATTACTATTTAGAATTTTTTGGGTTTTTAAAAATTTTATATTCTTAGCGTGTATTGAATTATTCAAAGGAAGTTTTTAGCTTGTTATCTATAAAATCTAGTATTATTATTATTTAGTTTTTTTTTTAAATAATATATAGATTGGAAACTTTAAATTTTTGTCATTTCTTTTTGTTATTTTAATATTATATATTAAAAAGTTTTAGTATTTTATTAGGAATTCGTTTATAAGTTAAATGTTTTTTAATTATTTTTAAATTTAATTAATTTTTTTTATTGGTTTTATTTAGTAATAGTTAGCTTATTATATACAACATTGAATGATGTTAATTATAAAGTTTTTATTAATTTAAAAACTATATTTATTAAAACAAGATTCTTTATTTTTATATTAATTTCCGCCATTTTTTTAGATTCAAATTTTTATTTTACTTTTTTAAATAACTTATTAATATAAAAATAAAATATAAATTCGTATTCTTTAAAAAAAATAATGTAAATTTAGAATATAGTAGTAATAGTAAAAAGTAAATAAAAACGAAAAGCATTAATTTAATTTTTTTTAGAAATACTAAAGAAGACCATCAATATTGCGCCAATCAGAGATGCGCCTGTTGTCCTGGGAACCAACCAAGGAAGAGAGATTTTGAGTTGGCCAGAGAAATTATTGCCGCCGATTTTGTAAGAAATTGGGAAAAGGAAAATTATATTCGAAATAGACTTAATGTTTTTAATTTTTTTTTTATATTTATCATTATTTATTAATTATCCTGACTCACTAATTTTTTTTCGAGAGACATTTTTTAAGGAAGATATTTTATTTTAATTGTAAAACAGAATCAGGATATCCGAAATCGAAGCCTAGGGAATTTTTCTTTATTGAAAAGATCTCTTTCTAATCCTCAAATTGCTTAGTTAAACAATAAAGTTTTTTCAAATAGGTTTACTTTTTTTAGATTTTTTTTGACAAGAAAACTGTAAAATATTAAGTCCTTATTATAATTAGTTTAAAAAAAGTTTTAAATTGTTCGAAATCTATATAATATTTTTAAATATTATTAAAATCTATATCACCTTTTCATTATTTTTAAAAAATTTTAAAACATTTATGATATTTTTTTATTTTGATTATCACTTTTGCCTTCACTAAAAGGAGTACAACAAGAATATTACTCAATTTTCTTATTCTATTTTCATAAATATTTTTCTTCGGAATTGTTAAGTTTATGTGTCTCATATAAAAGCCTTTTACATTTAAAGTTTTATTGAAAAAAATTAAAATTGATATAATAATTTAATATATAAAAAAGGCTCAAAAGCTAATAAAATAATAATTTTAAAATAAATTTTAAATAAATACTTAAAAAAATAAAAAAATAACACGATGAAAATAAATTATATTAAAAACTTTAAAAATAGTAGGAAAAAACGGCAATTATATTCTATATTAACTTTGGCTTTTACAATTAATATAAATAAGCTTTTTATGATAAATATTTCCTGTTATTATATATAATATTAAAAGTTTAAGAGTTTAAAAGCATTTTAAATGGCACTCCCAAAAAATTAGAATTTCAATATTAGGTTCTATAATTAATTATACGTACAAAGTTTTCTTAATTTTACATAGCCGCTCTTTTATAATCAATTTATTATATTTTCTAATTAAAAGTTGGCCGTTAAGTATTCATTTTTTTTTTAAGTTGGATTTTTCTTTATACTTTTATTTTTAGAATTCGGTTTACAAGGGCGTCGATTCAGACTTTTACAAGAGTGGGTTGCTTTTAATTGTAACATACAAGAAACAATATGTAACGATTATATTGATAAAATATTATATAAAAGAAGGCTTAAAAAATTAATTAAAAAAATTGTTTTCTTTCAATTTATTTATGATGAAAACTTAAACAATTTAAAAGCCACTACAATTGCACGCACATAAAAAAATTAAAATAATCTTGAATATAAAGTCCCTAGAGTTAGTTATACTTAAAAAGTTTTTCTTGCTTAAAATTACCTATCCACTCTTAAAATCGATTTTTTAGCTAGTTATACTAGATAAAAGAAATGTAAATTAAATAATCTTTACTTACAATGGGCTTCTCCTCGTATTTGATTTTTATATCGCTAAAGTATCTTTTTCTCCTTCCTTGACAATTTCACCTCTTATTTGAGATAATGTGAAAGTGTAGTTATAGTTCATCTTCATTTTCTATCTGTTTACTAAAACCGTACTCGCGGGGTGTAGTTTTTATCCAAGTTTTGTTCATAGCAAGGCATAAATAATATTAATATCACTTTTTGTTAAAGACTGAGACAAAGTCTAAATTCAGCTTTTCCAGTTAACAACTGCAATACCGAATGAAACGGACCTGCTATATCCTATTTAAATCTTTAATGCTATAAACATTTTAATATCGGTCAACTTTTTTATATTATTTAATAAAAAGAAAAGGAATGCATTATTGAACAGTACTACGGCACCGGATTTTTTTTAAAAAATAGACTACTGAAGATTATAAGAAAGATTTCGACTTTTAGATTGAGAGGTTTGTAAAGGTATTCATCGAAAGATACCTCATCAGCTTTAAACTATTACAACTGCTTCTACTATGTAGTTTCTGTCTTTGGTGGTGAGCTTTTCGGATTTATAACAAAAAAAAAAGATTATCCCTTTTTATTGTATTATGTTTATGGGAGGAGCCTCACTTGTTAAAACTTTTCCTGTTTTGTTTCTTTTGTCTCAACCTGAATTTAATGCTAAATTATACAATTTAAACTTAATATTAAGAATAATATCCTAAATATCGTACAATTCTCTGAGTAATAATATCATAGGAGACTGTCGTCAAGTTTAGATATTCAATATGTTACAATGTGCTCTGATTTAAAATAAATTCTATCCATAATAAACTTTATAGAGATTTCTTTAAACGTTTAAGTCTTTTTAGGTAGATTGTCTCTCCTATGCTTTCCTTAATTTTGGTTTATATGATTAAATATGAGTATATGAGGACAAAATTTAGTAAAATCACCTATATAATAAAAATACTAAGTTGGTCTAAATTAGAATAATAACGAAGAAGGATAAAAGAATAAGGATTGGTCATAATATTTTTTTTATACAAACTTTATATTTCTTTTAATCTTTCAATAATACAATTGAAGTATATTTTACCTGTGCTTATCTATAAAAAAAATTGTTTATACATTTTATTTTCTTTTATATTTATAGTACAATGGTAATATATTTTATCTGAATAATAATAAAGTAAAAAAAATTTTGTAGTTTAATTTCATTATAATAAAAAATAAGTTAAGCTTTGAAAAATTATCTTGTAGATCTGCGTAAAAAAGGAAACAGTTTTGCAAGTAACAAATTTCATGTTAAGTTATACTTACTTGAATATTCTATCTATTCTGAGGCACAATTATAATTCAAATTAAAAAAAAGGCCTACCGACAGCACTTCTTATCTTTATACTAGGCCTCATCGAAAACTGTAAAGCTTGTATAGTAAACTGTATATTGTAAATTAATTCTCTTTCGAGTTTGCCTTATATTTGTTCACGAAGTTTCAAAAAATAATATAAACGCTTAAAGGTTTAATAGGGCCTAAAAGTTAGTGAAAAAAAAAGCAAAAAGTTATTGTATAAGAAGGATCACTTCTTAATCAACCGCTAAAAAAATTATAACAGATTGGCTAGAGATGAGACTGAAAAACTCTAGACCAAAACTTGAAAATATATATACGAAGTAGTAAAAGTTAAATTATATATCATATATATTCGCGTCATCTTGCTAAGGTATGTTTGTAATAAAAACATTTCTTTTTAGCAACAGAATGACGTTAACTAGGCAATACAATTGGGCTCACGTCCTCATTATGTTTACCGCTTAAAAATACCTTTTATAAAATAAAAAGCTGTGGTTCAAATATTTACTAAAAAATTAAGTTAATTAATCAGTAGGTTGCAACAAATACACTTCAGGAAACTACCTTTTTACAACATCGACTGGGTTTTACTATAAATACTTTAAGGATACAAAAAAAGAATTGGTTACTGTAAAAGTTTAAGACCTTTCTAAAGAACAAAATAGTCAAGCTTATACCAATATAAGGTTTAAGCTCCACTTTAAACTTAACTACTTATTAAGTAAAGTTGAATAAGTAGTTGTTTTTTAACGAGGAACGTGCTTTGCTTTTAAGACTTTAAAAAAACTATATATTTATATAAAACTGGCTTCACAAATTTTTGTAAAAATTAATTCTTACTCAGTAAGGATTGATAATAAAATAACAAATTAAATATTATTTCAAAATATAAAAAGTCTTAAGTATTATTTTTTTACTTTAGGTAACAGAAATAGGAATTAAACTTGTAGGTTACATTATTATCTTTAACTTAAAAAAAAAGAAGTTTAAAATAAATCCTATAAAAAAAATTAGCTAATAAAAATACAATAATAACTTTTATAAAAAAATTAATAAAGTATTAAAACTTAATATTTCATCTCTATATGAAAAGAGTGTAAATTTTAAGAAAATTGAAAGCAGTGGGGAACTATGCCTGTCGACTGTCACGTGGCGAATGGGGTTGAGGGTTTTCACTGGTTCGTTTACAGTGAACACAAACCGCTGATATGAAAAGGAGACAACCGCGCAGGCTGGAAGAGCTTGTAAAAAAAAAAGAAACTAAACACTTCAAGTAGTACAATTCGAACTTACAACGGGCCACTTAAGAACAATATAACTTTCTCATATGTTTCCTACTCTGACAAGCCTTTGTTTCCAACATTTTGTCGAGTTGACAGCTCGGAACGTCAATATTTAATATTCCATGAACTTCAAAGTTCTTGACGCTAAAAAATGTCTTTGTCCGCCTATGGCCTAGGGGTGTCCCCTAGCAATGTAGGCACATTCCGTTAGCCCTCTATAGACATACTTGCGTCATTCCAGTGCGTTAGGCATCGCGCTGTCTTCATACCATCGACTGAGAGCTTGTGTTCCGCGAAGCTCTCTCTTCGCGCTATACTTGCGAAACATCTCACTCCCTGCGAAATTTTCACACGCATCGCACTCTACGCCGATGACACGGCATTTTCTGGTCTAAAAGAGCTTCTCTCGATAAAAGCAACACCCATAACGCTACCAGAATATATAGCCAACTAGTGTCGGCATTGAGGAGCAACTATTAACGCAAAAATTTTAAAAAGATGCACTTCACCACCCCCTGCCTCTTACCCTGGGAAGTGTTAAAACCCCGAGTGATTTTTAGATCAACACTTAAACATTATTATCTATGAGCGACTACCTTTCAACAACACGTCAAAAGCGTTGCGGCAAAGGTCAAAGCAGTAACCCACGCACTCTACCCGCCGCTGTACGCAAGAAAGTCCAAGTTCCCAGCGTAATAAACTACGCCTCTATGATATGCGTGGGTCATCTGCGACTTGGACGTACAAAAAACTATGGACGAGTGCAATCCTGCGGACGCAAGAAAACAATCCCATGTGACCAACGATGGGGGCACGGGATGCAGACGTTCTCGAAAGGCAACTTCCAGGCTACCCCATGGATTCAAGAAGTTACATTTAAACCCTTAATAAGCGTACGCTTTTGACGGCCCCCCGATTTGAATAATATAAAATAATTACACAAACACCAACAGATCGCAAACAACATACACATACAATTAAACAAAGGTATACCACATAGAGATATTGAAAAATTAATTAATTGAAGACACATAAGCTAATATTGTTAAAATAAAAGGCATCCTGAACTTTTTGGCGGGGCTATATTAACCCAATAATATTAGGAACAAATATAGTACTCATCGACTCGGACACCATTTAAACAGGCCGAATTAAATGTTTGTTCAAAGAATCTTTTAATTAATTTAAACAAATA